GCTATTTTATCTTTTCTGCATATCTAAAATGAACAAAACTGAATGGAGAACTTTGCAACCGTGCATTACAACTGTTTGTTATACTTGCCCATTTTATCTCATTTCTTGTCTCTTCAAGTAGATTGTTAACTCTTGATACAGTGTTTAAACTAGTAGCTTAATTTGTTTTTTATCCTCATGGTCAAAAAAGTCGCACAGTCACAGAATCTAACGATACCTGGTTCCTAATGGATTTGTTTCTCCAACTACCTTGTCCCCTATGATGTCCACTTACCACCTATCCTTTCCAACCTGATGGCCACTTTGTTTGGTCTGACAGCTGGGCAGAACGTTCAATGAGCCCACACTGATCAAGGGCTACATGCATGCTGATTGACTGGCCACCTGGCAGTGATGAACAGCCAAAAGCAAATGGCCTCAGAGGCTGAACAAGCCCATGAGGTACATACGGTGCAGAGTTGCTGCAGGAACTCCTCTCTGAGACTGCCACTGCTTTGCTAATTCGAAGTTAAGTTGTCTAACATGAGGGGGACTGATAAGCCAAAATGTATCGTATGATTACTTAAGGAAATGCAGCTTTGGAAAATGTCGTTAAAAACAGTAAATATATAAAATACAAAAAATACTATACACACAATTATTTTATATGTAGGATATCTGAAAAAACTACCCTTGATGCCCACTCCCCTTCCCCAGGATATTTTATATTTGTATACCGGTTGCCCATTGTTCAAAAGGTCTTCCTTGAAACGAAGTTTTCTTTCCAGGTCCTGAATTACAGCATCTTTTGACCCTTGAATCTCTTCATCTGATGCTATCCTAGCAGTTCTGCCTGTTTTCTTGGGAAATCCCCTGCAAAACATTACAAGAAAGCTCATGAGTTTTCCTGAAATCATTGGTATTTAGGAGTCACTGGATGAAGTTCTGCCATTAGTGAAGAAAATTACATTTTGCCTTCAGAGCGCGGGCATCTCACTTACTATGTTGCCCCTTCTAATTCACATTATGCTTTATTCAAGAATTAGTTAAAATAGGACCCAGGACAGCATAGCACTGGCTGCAAATAACATGCACTCAAAGAGGAGACTGATGAGCAAGGACAATAAAGCAAAACGACGGGAAGCATGAAAGAGAAAGTATGACTAGATAAGCAGGAGCGGAAAGTGAACCAGATTTCTATGTAGTACCAGAAGAATAAAGATCATAAAGGAATATAACAAGACAGTTAATTATTAATTCCCTGTATTATTTAATAACTAATCCTTGTAACAGCTTTTGAACACATAATGTTTACTCTTCCTATCTTTTTGAATACATACCCAGAAGGCAATATGTAAATGTTATTTCTGAAAGAATAGCCATTCACAGAGTCTAGGTTACACTCACAAAAGATACAATCATTCCTGCAAAGCAGTTTTCAGCAGCAGGGTTTCATAGCAGAATGACAACCATTCAGCAGTTAGCGTTCACAAGGCTAAGCTGTTCCTTGCACCAGTCTGGAAGATGTGATTGCAGTTTCAGGATGTGTCGCTCCCACCTTTTGGAAGGGCTTAGGATTTTTTTTTTTCTCCAGTCTGCGCTAATATTAAACGCTTTTCAGTAACGTTATCATGACTCTTTTGCTGGAAATGCCCAATGATGGTGTTTTATAATGAAGATGAGATGTACAATTCAAGTTGTGAAGAAATAAACATTGCTATCAATTTTTTTAAACTTGGAGCATGCCATATTTCTCCAGTGAAGTCGCATAATATCATTTAAAACACATACTGGCTCTACAATTTTTTCCCCCTCCAAATTTCAGTGTTTAATTACGGCTCAACCCATTACCTGGGAATGACTTTTGCAAAATATGGAATCAGGTAAACTGCCAAACCCCTCTCACATATCAGAATGTTTATAATTAGAATCCAAACCCATCTGTTACTTTAAATTAAAATCTTTCCTTTGTTTTGAAATGCTAGGAACCATGTGATCTCCCCTTCTGGAAGGAACACTTCAAATCCTTTCAAATTTAGGATTTCACTGACGACAGAGATGGAAAAAAAAATGAGACTAGCAATTATGGGTAATCTTCTTTCCAACACACAACTTAACAATTTAATTACTAGCACAAAAATTTTAAACTAGAATTACATGGAGTTAACAAATATTCTTGGATATTGTTTGGTATTATGTATTTATAACATGGGTAGACTAAACTTGGTCTTCAGAAAGTGTCTTTGATGGTAATTTTTAGTAGTAGTTAAAATGAAACAATACACATACATTGTCAAAAGCCAAAAAGGAATCAGTTGAACAGATGGAGAAGACAATAATTGGAAACATATCTATCGAAATGCCTAAAATGTTTCATATTCTGTTACTGAAAGTAAAATGGGAAAAGGGTGATATATTTGTAAAAAGAATTGTATTTTCACATCAAACTGCAGCAGAACAGACAAACGTCACTGCCTAATGGCTGCCTGTCTGTCTAATGTCACAGAGAATCAGAGAACAACATCCTTCACCCTAGAAATATTCAGCAGCTAGCTTGAGCTCTTGTCAGTCACCAAGCAGAATAATTTCCTCAGCATGTGGCTGGGGATGTTCTCAGTCACAAGTAAAACAAACTCTCCCTGACACTGTTTTGGGGAAGGAGTCAGGAAAACTATCCCATCTACACGGAGGCAGAGAGATACCAAGAACAAGGGGTAAAGTCTCTTTAAGGAAGAGAGGCTCCAATAACTCAAGACATTTTGGGATTGCAAAGGTAGAGGACGATACGAAAGGAAAACAGACCAAAAGAAGGTGGGAAGAGGCAAGGTTCCTCAACAAGGTCTGACTGACTGCAGGAAGGCTAATGGAAAGGTGACATCTCCTCTAGCTCTCCTTGTCTTTCTCCACAGAGTCTCTTCTCTTACCTCCCAGCTTCTAACCCCACTCAGTCCAGCACCACCACCGATCTCAATGTTGTCACTCTTCAGATAACAACAAAACAAAAGAAAAAAATCTGGCCAACTTGGAGGCCAGATTTTGGCTTCACTTTGAAGAAGTCCTGTGCCAACTCTTCATGGAGACTTGCGCCCTACCTTGAAAATTCCAAGCCATACGCTCAGAAACAGAGCGTTCATTTCACGTTCTACAAATCTCACACAGTAAGAAAACAGCAAAGAGTGTCAGCTGAAAAAGGCCAGCTTAGGCCTGGCACTTAATAGGCTATAAAGGTAAAATTCACAATATACCCAATAAACTCACAACGCTGCATGAAAAGAAGGCGGTAGGCTAAGTACTCTGGAGTAGATTTCAAGGAACAAGTAAAAGCATTCTCTGAAGCATTTGCAATTATCTCTGAAATACAGAAAGCCCCTAAGCAAACACCTATTTTTTTAAAAGGGAAGGAGTACCAAGGGAATTATATGTCAGTCAGTCCAATGTCCATCCTAGAGCACAAGAAAATAATATTATAGTCCATTTCAAAACAATGTAGGATAATAAGGCAACGAAAATTGAATCACATCTAGCCTCACTAATTTCTCTCTCTGTCAGGCTGACTGGCATGGAGACAGATGCAAAAAGAAGTTGCATTTCAGTTTACAGCTTCTGAGTAAGCCCTTTGTGGCTCCTGTAGTTCCCCAGTAAATTAGGGAAACACAGTCTGGCTGCAATTTCTATTATATGGCTGCACAACAGTCTGGAAAAACTATTCCAAGGTAATTATGAATTTTTCTCTCTCAGACTTGAAGAATATAGACCAGCGAGGTCTTCCACATGTCTGTACTAAGTTCAGCACTTAGCATTTCAACATTAACAATTGGAATAGTGAAATAAAAAGCACATTTCACAAATTGGCTTATGACAATGAAATTGCAGAGGCTGCAACTCATTTTCAGGTAACAACTGTCATTTATAATCTTCATAATTAGTCTAGAGGTGGTCTAACACTGACGAAGAAACTCAGGGAAGAAATTCAAAGCATGATAGCATTGAGCATTGAATGTAAAAGTAGCACGAACACACTAAGCATCTCAGAAGAAAAGAATCTGTGAGATTGAAACTTTGGACAACACTGCAGTAGTTTTGAAAGCAAGAGAAATGTAATTCCAGAACACATTAGCCTAAGACATGAAAATTAATTATTTTGCTCTATTTCTTGCTGGTAGAGAATGAGTCCAGTTTCACCACTGCACGTTATGAAAAATACAGCAAACGAGTTTGGAAGGTAAGAAAACTCCAAGATCGTTTTAAAACGTAACTTCTGTAATAAGGTTGGGAGAATCTTGTTTATTTAGTCTGGTAAAGAGAAGACTGAGGATAAGGAGGTCAATCAAACCTATAAGACATCAGAAAATAGCTGACATTCAGTGATTCTCCTTGCCCATTGAGGACAACAAGCAGATAATTTAATCTGAAGATAGACAGACCTCAATTAGACAAAAACATTGTAGAATTCTCCTCCTTTCTCCTTCCCTCCACCCACCAACAGTGACTTGATAGTTAAACACTGGAACTAGTTAAGTAAGGAAGCTAAGGCATTTTTATTTAAGAGCAGGCTAGGCGAATTTTTCAGAAATAGCCTGGGGATCTTTGGTAGTTTTTAAACATGAGAGGCAGACTCCCCAACAGCCTTTCCACATCTCTGCTTATATGCCAGAACGAGCTCAGCTTTGCACAGCAGGTAGGGGAGTGCCATCCAAAACACAGTCAAGGCAACTTGCCTGAAAAATGAAAGATTCTCACTTTACTTACATTTACATATAAGTATTTAAGCAAGGAAGCAGTCAGTTTAGAAATATAACTGCACAAATGAACGTCAGCCAGAATTCCTTCAAATGCCTTTAGAAAAACTCTCTGTCTCAGGACTATTTTATATTGGGGGAAAAAGTAAATGAGGAAATGTAACTCCTCCTGCAGATGCTCTGTTTCCATCCCTCTTTAGAATCCCTTTCCTTCTTTCTCTACTTATATGCATTTATGTAACTATACAAATGTACATATACACAGACAAGTTAGCTGCTAAGATATATTCTTGAGATGAACTTCCAAATGGCTACAAAGCAATGGTGACAAATAGGTCACCAGTGAATCTATCCTCCAAGGCACAGTGCCATTAATGTGAGAGACTTTTTACAGGTCAAGGTAGACTGGTAGCAAACTTTCTTCAGTTGCTTTTGCAAATATTTTTCACTATCCTTACATGCCTTATCTGGATGCATCAACTTCCTGAGATTTCTTTCTTCCTTGGTTGCTCCTATGCTTTCTTTTCATCTTTTCTCAGAGATAATACCAAACAAAACATTCTGTCAATCCGTTTGTCTATTTGTATGTTCATTCTTTGCCTGATGCCATTTCCTGGGTGTACTGGGATTGTTCAAGGCACTAGGATATAGTTGGAGGAGGCACACTTAACGATATGGGTACCATTAGCCTTAAGCACACAACAGCCACCACCAATATGCAAAGAAATTCTCAGCCTTTGAGAATCGGGTTGAAATTCATACTGTCTTTTAAATCACCTCTGAAATGTGCACTGAAATCACTGCGTGGCTGAATACAGACACAGATATAAGCATGCGAGTCTGAATTCTTTTGGCCAGAAAGGGCGCAAGGAAGTTGCCAAAACTCAGGCATCTTAATTTACACACACACATTTCTGACAGCAGCAAAGTTTGCAACCTTGGCTTGTCTCTCCTTCATTTTGAATATTTGCTCTAACATTTGTTCAGAAAGCAAGCCAAACCAGCAGTATTTTTCATGTTTTAATTACATGGAGTGCACACTGGATGGGCTCCCTTTCTTTTCCTATGTGCCTTTTACAGTGTAAACAAGGGCAGCAGGCTGGCTGCTGTTATCCTTCCAAGAACAAATTCCTG